TACAGCACATGTAATTGTTGTTTCATCAAAGTCACGCCCACCTGAATAACCGACTCCCTCTGAAACCGACCATAGATCCCAGTCCCAGTCATGGTCGGTTTTGACAGGTTTTACTGTACTATATACTATATTTCAAGCAAACTTTTTACCCTCCAATTTAAATTTAAGTTACTCTGAGAGCATGTTTCAAATATTTTCTGAGCAAATGCAACAATAAAGAGAGTTGCATTTTAAAATTTCGATTTACAACTTGTTTTCAGTAGTTTTAATCTATACATACCTGGTTGGAGTCTAACCAAGTGATCACTTCATTACATTTATCAAGTATTACTTTCTTGTCGTCATCACTGATTTTGTCCTTCAACTTCTCATCTTCCACAGTATTTTTCATATTGAAGGCATAACTTTCAAGACCATTCTTGGCACTAATCCTATCACGTTGCTTATCGTCTTCAGCTTTGTATGCTTCAGCATCATTAACCATCTTCTCAATCTCTTCTTTCGATAAACGACCTAAGTATATGAACATAAACTTGTTAACCCTTCGAGTGTATTAAACTTTTGCATACAAAACATCCAAGACTTGACTTTGTAATCAATGATATTTGAACTTCACTATAAAGCACAGGGAACTACTTGCCTTTGTCATTGGTGATTGTGATTTTATTTTCTCTACCAGTGCTCTTGTCAGCTGCAGAGACGTTCAGGATACCATTGGCATCAATATCAAATGTCACTTCAATCTGTGGCACACCACGGGGTGCAGGTGGAATACCAGTCAACTCAAACTTACCAAGAATATTCTAAACACAGAAAACATGTTTAATTATTAGGAACAAGATGAAACGGGGCACCAATAGCACTACTAGAAGCAGCCCATACAAAAATATGGCAGATAAAACTCCAATCTTGCAGTAGTGACCATTTCATTCACAATTACTTACATTGTCTCTTGTCATGGCACGCTCACCCTCATAAACTTGAATGAGCACACCAGGTTGATTGTCTGAATATGTGGTAAATGTCTGGGTCTGTTTAGTTGGGATTGTTGTATTACGCTTGATGAGGGAAGTCATAACACCGCCAGCCGTCTCAATACCCAATGACAGTGGTGCCACATCCAAAAGCAATAAATCTTGTACTTCATCTGACTTGTCACCAGCCAAGATGGCAGCCTGTACAGCTATGGAAAAGAAAGACAGGTTAGCAATAAGTACTGTAAAACACTTTGAAATATAGGGGTTACATACTCTTTTAGCGAATTTGACCCAATGCATAAATTAACTGAATCTTAATTTAGCTAAAGTGCCAACAATCTTGCTGTGAGAATACACTATTCTAATTAGCCACATCTTCATTCAGCGAAATTGTGAATTAGCTAAAATAACATCCTACATCCTAGCTAAAAAGACATGTTCAACAGTAATTTGATTGTAAATCTTGGTTGGATTAGTGATAATCATGAAATAACGACAGTTATTCGACTTAAACTGCATAAATGAAAGTTGTTGCCAGCTGTATAAAGCAAGATAGATTGCCCAGAACCCTTGAAGGGCCTTCAGCGTGTTTTTTTTTTTTTTTTTTTTTTTTTTTAGTGCAATCACGCTACATACTAAAACAGCAGCATAGACTTGCAAGCTAGAAGCCAAAGGCATCTTGCCTTTAGAAACTTAATAAAAACGTGAATTCAATGCATAAATACATACCTGCTCCGTAGGCTACTGCCTCATCAGGATTGATGCTCTTGTTCAACTCTTTGCCGTTGAAGAAGTCTTGCAATAGTTTCTGAATCTTTGGGATACGTGTTGAGCCACCCACAAGTACAATATCATGAATTTGTGATTTGTCCAGCTTGGCATCTCTCATCGATTTCTCTACAGGTTCGAGTGTGCTACGGAACAGGTCTGCGTTCAGCTCTTCAAATCGAGCACGTGTCAGAGAAGTATAGAAGTCAATACCCTCAAACAACGAATCAATCTCTATACTGCAAAGTAGAGAAAACTTTGTAAATGCACAGAATTTGCACGGTCATTTAGACTGAAAGTCAGTTTACATAGACAGTACATTCTAGATTCCAAATAGCTCAACCAATCGCTTTTCTACTGAACTTAAATGCATACCTGGCTTGTGTGCTTGACGAGAGAGTTCTCTTTGCACGTTCGCATGCAGTTCTGAGACGACGAACAGCACGCTTGTTTGGATTGATGTCTTTCTTGTGTTTTCGTTTGAACTCTTGCTGGAAATGGTTTACCATACGGATATCAAAATCTTCACCACCCAAATGAGTGTCACCAGCCGTCGACTTCACTTCAAAGATACCATCTTCAATGGTTAGGATAGACACATCAAAAGTACCACCACCCAGGTCAAAAATTAGGACATTCCGCTCAGCTCCGACCTGTTAATAAAAGGGTGCATCTTAGTCACGACTTTAAACAATATATTTAGTCGTACTTACACGAAAGAAAAATGTTGCTGACTGGTGTTCACTCGCTTAAAGAGTTCAAAACACAAATAAGCATTTTATATTGGCACAATGATTTTTATCGCAAGTAATAAAAAACACTTGGACAATTTTCAGTTTGTGCCAGATAGGAAAGCACAGCAAGGAAAGTCTTGACCTTTAACATACCTTTTTGTCAAGACCATATGCTATGGCTGCGGCAGTAGGTTCATTGATTATACGAAGTACATTCATTCCGGAAATGGTACCGGCATCTTTGGTTGCTTGACGTTGGGAATCATTAAAATAGGCAGGAACAGTTACAACAGCATTGTCAATTTTCTGAAAATTAAAAATTGAATTTCAATTAGTACACTGTACCCTGGCTATGTAGTCTACATTTTGTAATAGACATTGGGTTAAACATTGTAAACCACAATTCACAGGAAAGCAACATTAAAATTAAATCTCACCTTTCCTAGGTAGGCCTCGGCAGTTTCTTTCATTTTAACTAATACCATTGAACTGATTTCTTCGGGATAGAATTTTTTTGTCTCTCCTTTGTAATCAACTTGAATCTTTGGTTTGCCTCCATCACTCACAACTTTGAATGGCCAGTGTTTCATATCAGACTGTACGGTTGCATCATCGAATCTACGTCCAATCAGACGCTTGGCATCTAAAAGATGATAAAAGTTATTGACGATAAGTCATAAGCTGAATGTTAATCTTTTCGATTAACCATTGGACAATACATGAATATCAATTCAAAACTGGCAACCAATTGCATGTAAAATTCACAAACATTTGACAATTAAAAATTATCAAAAACCATCAATTGCTATCAACTGATAAGATGAATTACTGGAGACTAAGACCATAAATAACTGTAGTAATCAACACGATTAGAATCGTTAAGACATTACTTTTAATAAATTCTGTCTAGAATTTTCTAGTATTACAGTGAGCATGCGAGGACACTTCTAGTTGTAGTTATCTTCGAGAATAAAACCGGTGCATTCATTTTACACCAACTACAAATTCAGATTCAAGAATTAGTGACAAAACATTACTCACCAAATACAGTATTTATTGGATTCATTGCAACTTGATTCTTGGCCGCATCACCGATGAGACGTTCGGTGTCTGTAAATGCTACATAGCTGGGTGTTGTACGATTTCCTTGGTCGTTGGCAATAATTTCAACTTTCCCATGCTGGAAGACACCCACACACGAATATGTTGTGCCCAAATCAATGCCAACTGCAGTTCCTTTAGCTGCCATTGTTACCTAAAACGGAAGCGAAACTAAACCTTAAATTCTGACTCTGCTTTACAAGGAAACTGGGCAAGACAGCAAAGCATTGTTAAAATTTACAAGCCACGTGACAAGTGGAGTGATCGATACGGAAGGAGTGGTCTATTGTTAGCAACGCCGGCCACGAAATAAAATAAAGAATGATACTTGATTTTTAGAGAAAATCGTGTGCACCATTATGATTATGCCACTAAAGCGCGGCACTGAAGTCTAGACTAGACGATGATGGTCGTATAAAAAGGCCGGGATTTACTACTTCCGGTTGGTTGGCTTTCCAGAACATTCCACAATTGCTAAGCTAGAATTATACTTCCTTTTTTTCAAACTACATTGAAAATGAATTCAGCTCAGTTTGAACTTTAACAATTCGGTGATGTGAATATTCACAGCTAAGTTCAAAATACAATTGTTCAATCCCAGCATGTAATACAATAAAGAAAGTCAATCATCGAGTTAACCGGCTAAATACATATACGTACATTTAAATTGCCTGAAAATATGTATTAATATTCAATCACGACTAAATGAACCGAAGATCCATATACTGACAGACATTTCTTTCAATTCAGGTGCCAAATCAGAGCACAAAACGTAGCGAAAAAAACTGCACACCGGCAACACATAAAAAGCACATGGTGAATTTTTCGACACGTTGCAATGCGATTCATTGTTCAAGAAAACCACAAAACACTGAAAATTCAAACTAAGGAACAGCAAGCAATAAATACAACATAAAATACTTACCTACAAAATTGTAAAAGAATTGTAGAAGGACTGGGCGAAAAATGCTAATAATTGACCTGCAACTTCTCCTGCAGATTCGTTGGAAACTATGACATGAAATCAACGTGATCGCGAGATACAGGGTAATTTATAGCAATGACGTCACGGCAAACTGGCCGTGGAACTATCCAGAACAATGATCATGTGACTATTTTTAGCCAACCGTGCGTGCGTTATCATAGTTTGCCCAATCAACTGTTACGATAGAATATCTAATTTGAATATTATTAATATTAATTAGCTGGGACAACCACCAATCAAATCACGAGTTGTCCACAATGTACAAGGTCGCGGTAAATCACCTACACGTGAATGTGCCCGAATATTCGCGTAACTCCTCGGTCTATGTCCAGGGAAACGCTGACATTTAGCATATAAGAGTCTAAGACATACCATTCTAGCTCCATGGACATATAACATGAATACATATAGTTTATTTTTTTGTAAATATAATAAACCCAGTATGTAGAAGTATTATCTTCAGATTTAATTACTACCAATAAACGAAGTATAGTCTCATGTCATCATGAAATAGCATTATTTTGTGTGTTACAGCAAAGACAATAATAATCTAATGTCTTTGGTTACAGTGACGTATTTTGAGAAACGTGTCGTAATAGTTTTTTTCAAAAATCGATATTTTAAGAACAATTCTATAGAGCACAGTTGAAAAAAAAATTTCACTTTTTGACACTTTTTAAAACCCTGTTTTTTGAGATAATTTAGTTAACAACTGAATACTAGTATATGATTTGTTCAGTCAGTTCAGTTCATCAGGCTACAATTTGAGATATGGCGTAATATAATATATGAACCTAAGGTATAAGCGTTATAATACTGTCAAAATAGCCACTATCCAATAAAATACAATCATGATTTTCACGAAAATTAAGCTGGTAACCCCAACTTTTTAAAGCCAATATCCTTATAATGCCTGGAAGTACAATTTATTGGAAAAATAATACGTATTATTATACGTAAATAATGCGTATTTGCATTCATGAGTAGGCTTCCACCTTGATACACTGTTTATAAAAGTAAAAACATTTATTTTTCTTGTTATATACAGAATATACTCATGGTAATGCTACCTTCGTTTGTACTTGGCTAGAATGTGAAAACTGTAGATAGCCATGGATGTTGGTGTCGCGGACGTGTCGTTGTTAAGGAACGTGCAGGCACATATTTCACCGTAACATTTGGCGGTTGGTCTAGACACAGTCTTCCAACACTCACGGTGGCGGGACTGTGGTCTAGACGATGGACATGCATGTTCATGTTTGTTTGTTTTTTCAGTCTTACCCCCACCCCCACTCGTTACTGGTATACTGCCCTCAACGGTACTTGTAGCAACCCATATTCCGAGCTGGTATCTCTGCAATCTGGTTGGCTTAATTTTTTGGGGATGGTGGTGGCTTTCACGAACAAAACCATTCTTGCAGCAAAGTAATTGTAACGTTAAAAATAATTAAAATAAATAATAATAATTATAGTAATTATATAAAAAAAAAATTAAGCCAACCAGGATCTTATTTTAATCAGATTGGTATCTCTGCTGCGTACTTTTGCTGGTTCCCGGCGTTCTTTGCCATGACACTTGAGGTGGGAACCAGCCAACTGCGTACCACCAGACACAGTCTCTCTATCACATAGAGGGACTGTGCACCAGACATTAGAAAATATCTCTGGTACCACCAGCCAACAATTGTTTTACATGCAGAGGCCAAGTTTACTTTAGTCTGTTTGCTCTGAGACTCTGGCCTACTACCGGTTGAGAAATGATTCTAGTATGCGTGATATTTGTCGGGGATTAGAACGGTGAAGTTTTACTTCTAACTACTGTAAAATACTTTATTTTCGCTTGGAATTAACTTAAATTCGCTAAAGTAATGATTCACGAAAATAAATTCCATAAAAAACACCCAAAAAGTCATTTCAGCGAAAATTAATATCTGAATAAGCTAAAATAAAGTATTTTACAGTATAAGGTAACTTCTAAACAGGTGCACAGCCTTTTGACATGATGCGCTATTCAGACGTACGGCTGTCGTGGTTGTAAACCAGGGGTTGACAATTTGTTTATGCACTCTTGCCGTTTACTAGACACAAGTGCAAAGTACAACGTAAACAACACCCTAGGCGTCCAGTTGTTGGCTTAATCCATTGAGATGTGTGCGTACTATTGGGGATAACATTATTTATCTTCACACTTCGTTATGATTGGCAGACACTAAGTTTCGCAAGCCTCGTGCCACAAGCGGCTCACCGACAGCCCTTTGGGTCACAGAAGCACAGTGGCAATTGGACTGGAACCGAGGCTAGTACATGTATCAAACATACGCGAACCACCTCGAAATATCTCTTTTTACCTCCATGCGTGAACTAACAAAGATATTGCAACTGAAGGATTCAGCGTCTGGGAGTGAGCAGAACATGGCGAACGGCCACTATGTATATATATTCATTTATATTTATTTATTGACACAACACTGATTTTGGAAAGTACAGCAGTAAGGCCACTAAAAACTACAAGATGAAAATAATTTAAAAAAAAAATGATTAACAGTGCAAGGTAAAAAGTAGACACAAATTACAAGTTACATTTACAAATTACAAGATTCACCGACAATTAAACATACAGGAATACATTACAATATATCTACAATTATACTCCTACTATGAGGTGCTGCTGTCTTATTTTAGGCAGTGTTTAATAAATTGTGCCGTATTGATCTGTGTGCTGCGAAAAATCGTTATAGAAATTAGAAATAAATTGACTATGAACTGACAAGTTAATAAAATTATTTATGTGTTTGGTCATATCTTCAACTAGTCTAGAGATATTCTTTGTTTTTAATACTTTGAACATGGCATTATTAGAAGGAATTCATCTTCGATTTCTTCTGTATTGCATACACGTTCTTTTTAGCTGGTGTTTTTGGTTTCGTATGCCGGCCAGATTAAATTTTTAAATTGTAATTCCCTAATCTAAACTTGCTTAGCTCATACATGGAACTGTGGTTTATAGTACCATGGCTCATAGAAGGTACTAGCGGAGTACCTTCCATGCTTAGCTGTCCACGCAGTTCAATATTGTCAATGTCTATTATGTTTTTTTTCAAATACTAATTTATTTTTAAAGTTTGTGTTGGTTTTTATTTTTTTCCTTGTGGAGTACTTGTTCTTCTTTCCAATGTGATGAGAAGAATTTTTCAAGCTGATTTTATATTTACTTTTGCGTTGGAAATTTTTGAATCAGCGTTTGTAATTCAAGTTTGATATTTTTTCGAAGAAATTCACTTTTTTGACTAGTTTTTAGTATGTGTTGGAGGGTAACGATACAAAATGCATACAAACATTGAAAAAATATACGTTATGGCACAATCCCTCTATATATAGGGACTGTGGTTATGGTTATATCATGGAGGTTAAAGAGGCACCTTCCAGTTAAGCCTAATTTCACAACAAATTTACTTTCTGGATTAAAATAACAATCGCTAACAAAAGATAGATTAACATTGTAAACAACATAAACAATAGTGTCCCATGATTCTTTGGTGCAATCCATGGGATTGAGTGGTTCCCCTTTAAACAAGAAGACCTAGAACAATGGGACTTAGATGCCAAACGATCGCATAGTTTATTTATCGATCTGATTAGGTAAATCAGCTTATCCTATCCAGCGAAGATTATCACAAATTAACATCGTTCTTCTTTTAGTTCCATGAACGCACACCTCACGTGCGCTTGAGTGGCATATAGCCGAAAATGCGCCTCATCTTTCTCACGCGTAACTACCCTCTTTGATAAACGTACTAAAACTAAAATATAGACAAATATTAAAAGAGTTAAGTAAATGTAATTCCCAGTGTTTTACTCAATGTGATTAAATAAGATCCTAGTTTGGGCTTTGTTTTTGTTTTTTTGTTAATATAATATTATTCATATTTTTTTCATATATTTTATTATTATTTTTTTCAATCTATTTGCTGTTGTTTTTTTATTAAGTTTTAAACTTGAAAATTTAAAACTTAAAAAAAAATACCAGCAAATAAATTAAAAAAATATATATTAACACAACAAAAAACGAAAAAAAAGCCCAAACTTTTATTTTAATCAGATTGTGTTTTACTATGAGGGAAGACAGTTTAAAAGAGATTTCCAGCTGCCTCATAACAAGGAAACACTTTTATTTTATTATATATGTTTTTATGAATTATCTTTTTTTATTTTCTCTGTTATATGTATTTCATTAGTTATATTTGTAACTTTGTTTTTTTTTTCTGTCATTATTTTATATATGTATATATATATATATATATATACATACATACATATATATATAATACCTTAATTGTATTGATCAATACCCCATTGTGGATACGATTTCAATAAAATTATTATTACCACCTTACCTCACACTCAGACTTGTATTACTACAGTCTGAGCCTCATACCTCGAGATACTAAGTACTTAATCTCCTGTTCACACGTTAGATGATTTGTTGTTATAGCCAGCCCAGAATAAACTCACTGTGTTACTGTTTACTCAAAAGATCTGTCAAAAGCAGTCTCATCTTCTAAATCAGCTCACTTTTGACACAAGTTCCACTTAGTAGGGGCACTGACCGGATAAGTAAATAAACTTCCTTATCAGTTAGTAATCAGCTTAGACCATTGTACTCGCGCAGCATGGTAGGGTTTCATTTTGATATGCCCCGCGGTAATTTGGAATCTGATCTGTAAAACCATGAAGCTAAAAAAATGGAGAGTGAACACCCTTTGATGCTATTGTTACCATGACTTCTGCCGACTATTTGGTCAACAGATAACACTTGAGGTGTTTTTCAGGGGATTACTGGACGTGAATATTTAATTAGATATGATCGGACGTTCTCGGATGAGTTCGTTCATTATTACATCGGAAGTTATTTTTTTCTTTTTCCGTTATACTTTTATTTATTGTTGTTGTATTTTTTGTATTTTAAATATATATTTCCTGTATCTTTTAATCTTTATTGTATGTTAATCCAGATTTCAATGGAGATAGGTTGACAATAAAGTTATTATTATTATTACAAAGCAAGGTGAAGGACGAACAAAACTTTAAAACGACTCAAGTCATTTTTTTTAGCTCCGTGGTAAAACTAAATCCATAAAATAAAAATGTCTTTCGCTCTGCTACCCCCCCCCCCCCATTTCCATGACAAACGAAACGTCTGTCAGGTTTCTAGACAGAAATTAATGTAACACTAAAATGGCTGCCACGCTCAGTCTGAATCCGACCGTGAAACGAACACAATATGTGCGGGTCTCAATGTACCATGTATGTGGGTGTGTGTATGTCATATATTGTCATATATATATTCACTTGCTTCTATGCTATCGATAAAGAGCCATTGCTCGAAACGTCTAGCTAGTTTTAATAGTTATTTAGGACTACGATTACCAAATATTATCTTCAATATATCATATATTGAAGTAGGTCTGACATACGGGTACCAACACACGGATAAATTAGGGGGATATACTAGTTCTGTCGATATTATATTAGGAGTTAATCATTTGAAATAAACACGGTGGGCGGAAGAGTGTGACAAGTCTCAGACAACCAATCTTGGTTGGTTGTCTGAGGACCTGTGCAATTTTATTTATCGTTGTGTCTTATCTGCACATTTGTATTGTTCGTGAATGTTCCAATTTCTCTTTCCTGTAACACCCTGTATTTTTTCACTGTGTAAGCATGCAATTTTTCTTCTTCAACAAACTTCTGTCAGCCACCCCTATGATTTCAAACAGTCACCCCCCTGGCAACATATATGGTGTGTATGTAAAGTTTGAGTGCGATCAGTCCAAGCAAGTTAGTGATATGATGGCGTCGGATTCCGGAACAGCACTATTGAAAACAGAATGATAACCAGTCGTCATGATTTCACTCATTGTTCGTGAAACAAAATTGATGTACAAAGATCATAATATTATACTTAGATGCCAATTCCGAATAGAAATCATTCATGGGAGATCCGTTTCCGGCCCAGGCATGTCAGAGATACTGTCAAGTGCCATGTGCATCTTGAATTTTCGCGGTTGTCGTAAATATAAGTGGTGAAGTCACAACAGTATTATTATGCTTGATTCGGCTTCTTTGTATAAGAAAAAAAACCCACTAATTTAAACTAAAGTTGGGGGTATGTGGCTATATGTGTAAAACATCTCCCGGGTTTTTATACATATACAGTTTTGTTGTGCATGCTCGAATATTGACAGTCGATTCGATTTCACTTTTGTTTAACTGTTCAACTTTAATTTGGTTTCATGGACTGAAGTATTGTGTACAGAGAAAATAGAATAATACAAAAGCCATAAAACATCAAATTGTATTATATTCTACACATCGATAAATTTCAAGGATGCTGTCGTCGCGCAGCGCGTGTTCGAATTTCATGTAAATAAACAATGTATTTTACACGCGTTGTATACGTCGCTTTGAGTCCCATATCGAACAGGACGAGGCGCGACGACTGCCGCCCTTTAAAATGAACGTGATTGGGAAGAAATTGAATTGAATCTATTATTTGGAATAAATGATATCGAAACTTCTCGATTTGATACTGATATTGGTTATGCAGGTAATTATTTGAACAATCTGTCACTTAGTCACAAAACACGTTTCATACTGTCGAGAGAAAACTCGTTTAATAGTGGCTTGAAACCTGAACAGTGAACCTGTTGTGACCCTGGCGATACTCAAACACAACGACGCATGCGTCATATAAAGCAAAATGGCGGACTCCAGTGGCAGTGCAAGCAAAGTGCCCAACGTTATGAAACGAGTCGATTTCAAAGCTGACAAGATAAGTGAGGCTGATTTAGAATTTGTACAACGAATGACAGCAAGGCGAAGTGAACTACTAAGGCAAAGAGGTAGAGCAAGATACGTGAAGAGAAACGTTGCTGTCGGATGCGCGATAGCGGTCGGCGTTGTTGGAGTTTGTATCCTTTAAGTGCCAGGCAGTCACGTTCAACATCCACGTGGTTATAAGGTGCCCACGTTCCGGGGACAAACGGTGTTTTAGCTAAGATTATGGGGCGTGTGTTGTATCATTTGAAAGCTGTGGCGTTTCCATTGCTTGTGTGGGGAAAATTCAGACAGTAACGTTAGTGAAAGCATGGCCGTTCTTGAGATCTGCGTCATTAGAAACTGAGCTACATCGGGGGGGGGGGGGGGGGCTTCTGCACGCTTGACTTGAACCATGGGAAAAAAGGTACTTCAAAATCCTAAATAGAAATTTACAAAAAAGCAACGCCTTTTTGTAAGAGAAGACTTTATTACACCAAGTTATAATGAAAAAGATGAACTGGGGTGAAACAGAACAAATTTAGCAAATTTGAAACATAAATAATACAAAAAGCTAAATACTGGGTGGGTGGGTGGGGATGTGGGTGAGGGTAATTTATGTTGTGTAAAATCAGAACTGTGACTGACGAGAGCATGGACGAAACAGCAAAATGGCTGACTGCGTTGTGTTGTCACAGGAAGCACTGTCTCAGCAAAGACCTGTGTCATATGACGCCTTATTAGCCGATTTTAGCTAAAATAGCGCTCCATCACCTTTTTATACCACTGTTTATACACAAAACTTGATATTGCTTTTTACAATTTAAGTTTCCTGGTTGCCGCCCCAAGAGGCCAGTGACTAGTAATGTTTCCAACATTATGATTGGTTCATGATATTCTCGCTGTTTGTGATATTTCTCTTGGTTACCTGACGTCGGGGCTTACACCCCTAGCAAGCAATGCCAGAACCATCTCAAATATTAAATCTAATCAGGCAGGTTGTATGGGCATGACGTTATTGCATTATTAAAGACTCGTTTACGAAAAACGAATATTAGAATGTTTTATGTCACTTAGTCACGTACCTTTGGACCAGAATCTCAACCCAATGAAACAATATGGCGATTACTAGTTACCCTGGTCCAACTTACCATTCACAAGGGACTCCGGGAACCATCTCACTGGGGGTGCTATGTGAGAAAACACATGATAAATATATACAGAACTCTAGGGGGCGCCTGCTCAAAGAAACATCTGTTCACTCCTTTGAAATGCCATGCATGTCTGTATTCCTTAATGTTAATTACTCAGATGCATACTCTATGCTTGCAGTGAAACAAGAGACCTTTTTAGATGACTTTGACTCGCCTGCTGCTCCCAAAACGTAGCATCCAGTTACACACCCACATATTAAAACCAAAGACCTATGTGAGTGAAGTCGCCATTGTTACCATGAAGCAAGTGGTATGGAAAGGAGAAGAATATTAGACTTCCAACACAAGACTTGAATAAACACTTTTGTTTTTATATCATCTAGCTTGTTCTGTACTGGAGTGACTTCTACTTGCAGACCTGAGTGTGAAAACTACTATTGATACTGTATACAAAATATGATGAAAAATTAATTAACCTGATACTAAATTGTCTTTAATTATTGAAAGAAAACATAGTAATAATGTATCTTTGATTGTTTATTGATTTATAGGGCGTATAAATACACGGGCATGCGACTTCCATAATCCTGTACTGGTACATGACCTCATTGATTAACCACACAAGAGTATAATCTTTACAGATTCAAAGGGCGACAGTTGTCGCACCAAGTCAATTTTCAATATGGTCTGTTGTAACGCAGACATGTGTAAAAATTCTTTGTTTATTTCACAAAATTTGAATGCACATTGACTGTCGCGCTTTAAATTTTATTTGTATAACTTTTCATATGTCATGACCTTCAAAAGGTCACACATCCTGGTACTTTCTGGGGATACAAGTTCACTATCAATGAGAATTTTCAATTTCCCCCCCCCTCCAAATGTGAAGAGTTGTCATTGCAGGTTAAAACCAGTTAGACGTATATAATATTAGAGATTATTGCTGTAATGGACAACAATACCCCTGTAAAGTACCAGGATGTGTGACCTTTAGGGGTCATGTATGGTATATTGAGTGAGATACTACCACATTGGATTTATTTCGTTTAGACATCGCTAACTGATGCAGTTACATGTGTATATTCAAGTCATATTGGCAGGCCGTGGAGGTTTTCATAAAGCAATGTGGTAAGTCATCGTTAAGTTATTATTTAGTGTGCAAATGTTAGACTAACTTGATTGTCAACTTTTTAACCAATGTTTTATTTACTATGATTGAATTGTATCATTGGAAGTGTGATCGGTGAAAGTCACTTACCGGGTGGTCAATTGTACAGTTTGTTCTGATTCTAATTTGCTGGTTGGATGTCTCCCTTATTGTATTACTTCATACGTAGCGCTATGATTGTCGAAGTGTTAACACATTGGAGGCTACACAGATTGTACTACATACATTATGGACAACATACAACATTATTGGTTGTCAAATTATAAAACCTAAGTTAGTGTAGGTTTTATTTGTAACTTGATGTAATAAACCATTAACCAGCAATATTTTGTGTCTAAGTATATTCACCATGATCTTTAATGTCCATACAAAAAAATATAAGGCAATTTAGATTTTGAACTGCGATAGCTTGAGATGTCAGAGAAAGCTTAAAAAAAACTCATGTGTGTGCATTAGTTGCATGGAGTACTGTATTTACTATACAAAAAGCATATCTCCAATTCACATAAAACAAAAATTATATTTTTTCTTTATCAATTATCTCAATTTTAACAGAACAAATATGACATTTAAAAATATAACTGCAAGCAGTGATCTGGGTTGGTCAAAGTGGCTATAGTTTAAAAAATATGAATATTTGATATTTCAGTTATATATCTTGTCTGACAAAAATATTAGTGCAACACTACATCTGCAACACTACAGTTAAGCATATTAACGAGGTCACATGACTATATATCGATAAGTGTCTTGTTAATTTGCCTTTATTATAGCACTGGTTACACACATCTGCAGCAGTGCTTGAGATATTACAGTTGTGCATATTAATGAGGTCGCATGAATAATTACATGAACCCATTTGTACATGGTAGGTAATTAGTAAGCTCAAAATTTAAACCGAAACGTGTATATGGCTTATTCCAGAGCACCTATGTACTACGTTTTATTGAAATCTAAAGAGTGGATGAAAAACTCTTAATTGGCTAGTTAGGTCATTAACACACTCGTCCCTTGACCACAAAGACTTGTTTTGTAGCTCTGTGGAGGAGTAGTTATTCAAATGATTGACTCCATTGTTAGTGTTACATTTTTGACGTTTTAAAAATCTATTATCTCTGTACCATATGGCTTTGATCCTTTCCAGGACCTTTGGTGATTACATCCCAAAGTTTATTTTTTGAATGTTAAATAAATGCCGTTATTGACATCTTGAAATCTGCAAACCTGGTTGCTTATATCTGTTGTATTTTTTTAGCCCCACTGTCGAGCAAAGCTTATCGTATGAGTGATTGTAGTCAGTGTCAATGTTTTACTTTTTCGACCTCTTGAAAACTACAAGCCTGAATGCTCTGATACTTGGTGCATATGTACCTTGGGTAGACCTTTCTTAGATTTGTTCATTTCATGATGGTATCTTCAATTCTCCAATTTTGGTAAAAATTGATATTTTCAACTTGTTAAAAACCGCAAGTCCAATTGCTTTGATATTACATATATAGATACTACATGTGGACCTCTCAGATTCGTTCAATTTGTAATGTCTTCAATTATCTAATTTCGATGAATATTTTTGGTGAAAAGTGATATTTTCGAATTCTTGTTGAAAACAGCAAGGCTGATTGCTTTGATACTATACACATTGTTCATTTTCCAGTGATATCTTCAGTTCTTTAATTGAAATGTGCATTGCTAACAGCGGCTGCTTGTTTAGCTCCATGATGTAAATTAACATACGTTCAGCACTGGTAATGGCAGCAAATTGCCGATTTTTTTCATGTCTGAAAAGCTCACACTGGCGCCCATGTGCAATTTATTGATTTTATATTTGTAAACCCACACTTTCTTGTTAAATATAATGGGACTTTGATGCACATAGTTTTTTTTTAAAGATTGGACTGTCAACATTTGGTCATATATATACCAGTATATACAAAGGCAATGCTTTGTTGAAAATTAATTCTGTTGCTTGTCTGTGGTTTTTATGGATAAAGTTTCAAACGCTCACCCATCTCTCCCCTTAAAATAATCCCAATCAATAACTTGAGTACTTTATCATTTTGAAATATTAAATTAGTGTAACAAACAGTAATGTTAATTCAGAGAAGCAGAAAGTGTATACTTTGGCTGCAAGATAATCTGAAGGAGATATTCAATTGATACATACCTTATCTCTGGTACTGAAATAATCAGGGAAACCAGTATTCCTCTATCATTTCCAGTGATTTGTGTTTGAACAGTGGAAGTAGCGATTGCTTGATTTGAAAGGGTCATTTCCAAATGTTCTTATGCATATCAATTTTGCCATTTCACTGATAAGCAAAATACCAGTACATGTAAAATAATGATAGAATATTGTTTCTCTGCTAAACATTTGAACTTGCAGCGCGTGTTCGAATTTCATGTAAATTTACACGCGTTGTATATGTCTCATATCGAACAGGACGCAGCACGACGACTGCCGCCCTTTAACACCCAGTGAAAATAAATGATTTTACAGTAGACATTTGCTGGCAACCAACATCACAGCCAAGACGAGAGCGAGGCTATGTAGCAAGTTAAAATATGTAAACAAAAGAGTAGATACAACAAAAACACACACACAAGAAGTACGAAAACTTGCAAATTTGTGAGAAATATATACTCTAGTACTTTAATATAGAACTTTCACTCAGTACAAACAATTATCTAATTTGTATACGAGAAAAAAGGCTCAACAATTTATAGTACAAGAACAGATTTCCTACATGTCCTATCAATGAATTTTATAAATGAGAATTACTATAAATCGGATCAAGTTTTAATTCCTGGTAAAATGGCAGTCAAGTAGCCCAAATATACTAAACTGAAATGTAACATAACCGTGACAGTGACAGTGTGAATTTCATATTAAAAATGTTTAACTTCATTACATGAAATTTAATGTTGAATATTGAGTAACAAGAAATGAATGGGTGGGGGGGGGGGGAGATAGATGAATGCATTGTTATATTTGGCTTGCATGATTGCAATGCCACGATTATGAAAACCAGAGGATTTAAACCGAGCTGGTGGCAGTTGTTTTGAATGCAAGATATCAGTAATTTTCCCAGTCAACAATTCAAACCACTGGTAGGTTCAGTCGAGAGATGAATTTATGGAATCCTCAAGTCTATGTGCATCACACAGCTTTCAAAACTTAAGCCGTGTAAATAGCACCTGCCATGCTGCTTTTCTGATCATGATTGACTGACTGATTGCATCATCGCTTTTTCTTGGTGCTCATTTCTTTGACAATTGCAGTATCAATTGTTTAAACATCTAACACATAGTTAGGATGCACAACCAAAAAGGGGTCATCCTCCTGGATTTGTTCTTCAGATTCGGTGTCATGTTTTTTCTGCTTTAGTCCAGTCTTTGACAATTCTATCAAAACTTGATCCTACAATACAAAAACAAATTTTGTTTTAGATGATGTTTCTACAAATTCTGATTTCAAGTATGGGCTGCTGATTCCCAATAAGGGATTTTGTGTACTGTGTGAAAGGCGCAGACTGAACTGTTTGCTGAAAAAAAATCAAATGATTTGAATTTTTATATTCTTATTTAATAGCTCATTGTTGAAATGTTGATCTTTCAGAAGTGAATATGGTGTTGAGATTCCCTTACTTTATCAAAACTGACAATCATCAAATGTGTATTATTATTAAGTGTGGAAATAATCCCCCAAAAAGTTTTGCGTTTGTTGATTCCCATGTGATGCTTTGACACCACTATGATGCAAAGACTTGTGCTTGTTCTGTCCTGTTTTATGTTGACTTCACAAGTGACAAAGGATCTATCAGTGAACATAAAATGATCAATTTGTTTGATTGTCCCAGTATTACAGGGACCAGTATAGTGTTGTAATGCATTAACTATACAGTTATCAGCACATCAGAACACTCGGCAAAAGAGATTCATATTTTGTACTACTGAGCATGCTACTGTACATATATGCAATGCATTAGGGGGTACAATTTCCCATTGTATATAAAGAAACATTGGCAACATCACACCGGGAACTTGCTGAATTAAATGTTAAAAATTTTAACAATATCAATAATATAAACCAGTCCAGAAATATTTGACATTTTCTGTGCCATTTTGAATTCTTTTTTTCAAAAATTGTTCTGGTGTCACTGTTTTTGTTGTCATTTATCAAAAGCACAAAGAAGATAAAAATCTTCAAATCAGTTTAATTTAAATGCCGCGTTAGGAAAAGAGATTGTATGATTTCTCTCGTAGTAACTTACGTGATGTGCCAGTCTGTCAATTACTTTCTCAACTTTAACCTTTTCCTGTAATAACTCTTCTTCAGTCTCAATATCAGTCTCCATTTCTTTCAAATACCATTCAACCAGAGCGCTACGTCGCACACCGCCCTCGTCATCACCTGACTCTGTAAACAAGTTTACAGCAGCAGGATGAGGGTCAGACTAAGCTTATAACAGATTTTGGAAGCATAATCAATTGATACAATAGTAACCACTACAATAACAAATAATCAAAATTATATAATTCATTGGAAAAAAAAATCACAAAACAAAAATAGACTTTTCTTTACAGAAAACGATCGTTTGGATGTGAAAGTTTATTTTCTTCCTGATTTGTAGGAAACTTTCTCTGCCTGTCTTTATTTAGTTCCAAGCAGTGTTCTAGATGGCTACCCACATATCGGTGGATTAATTGCATTCATCATATTTTCAGGCTGACCAAATAAACTACTTTCACATTATCACACCTCACAAAGCAAATCATTCAGGGAAATCCAGGCATGTACCCTAATGCAATATAGACTCGTCCAGAGTGGGCGTGATCACAAGTCGGCGCCAGCGAGGTTAAAAAGCCAAGCTGTTAGCCAATTCGCTAGCGAGTTTGCAAATTGGCTGCCCCAATACTTCTGAGACTGGATGTAATGTATGTTGTTGGAGAAATCGTTCTGAATAGATGCTCATGCCACTGGGGAGTTTCAAGTATAAGTATACAATCAACAAAAGTACCTTCTAACTGTTCCTCCTGCTGTCTCATGTACAAAACCAATAAGTTAGCTTTTGTTTTGTATTCTTCAAATGTCATTCGCATTCCCTTTTTGCTTGGTTGATCTTCTTGTTGACTAACAGCCTTCCCAGCATCCTCTGTTTCCATCTCTTCCAACTCTTCATCTGAAAAAAAAGTTCCAAGAATGGTGGTTAAGATGTATATATACGGTAGTTCTTTTTACAGGTACAAGGTAGGATTTCATAGGTACCTTGTAGGTTTCTACAAGTGCAAGATTGGAATTTTATAGGTACCAGCCAGGTTTTTACAGGAATTTTACAAGATTTGTCATGATCATATTTCAAACCTAAGGAGACGTTACTATCTAAGAAGTTACACATCCGTGTATTCTCTGGTGCCTTCAGATAAATCTAAATTAAAATGAAATATTCCATACCATCTGCATTCTGATCTTCTTCCTCTTCTTCAAAATTGATGACGGGGGACTCGACTCGTATGATGGATTTATTCAATAAACGAAATGCCTCTTTCACATGTTTAGGTTGTACCTGTCATGAAATGTAAATGATATCGTGCATTAACCTAATCATGTGACCATATATTCCAGAAACATGATTCCAATTATAAAGTAATTCAAGATGTCATGTGACTAAATACTTTTGATCTTAAATCAAATTACTAGCTAACTAAAATAGCACCCTCTATTGACACTGATTGTTGTCTATGGTTGAGTACAGAAATGTTGTCAGCAATGGGCAATGAGAAGGAAATGTGTTCTAAGATACAAGCTTTCATTAGAAAGTGCAACAATTGAGCTACTTTCTATTTATATTATTTCAGTCTCTGTAGCTTTATAAATTGGAAACTTGTAATTCGGACAAGGAGGAAATCCAGAGTTGTAAGGGGGGAATGTTTTCCCGTTGCCCTGTTCAGGGATAACACTAGTTTTAACATGTTATTTCATTGAAAGCAAAGTGTGGTGAAACACGAGTGGTTAATTTATCTCAACTAATTTTGTATATTAAAATCTGCAAATGCTGTAAATGTCAATATTTATATACTGTAAAATACTTTATTTTCACTTGGAATTAATTGTCGCTGAAGGTATGATTCAGTGAAAATAAAATCCAGCGAATATACCTTTTTTTCTATATTTTACATTGAACTCGTCTAAAATCAGTAAAAATAAATTCCATACAAAACACCTAAACTGTCTTTTCAGCAAAAAATATTTCCAGCTAAAATAAAGTATTTCACAGTAGCAGTAAGACGCAAGATATTATGTAATAGATAACAGGGTTGTGCATGTATTCTGGCTACTGAAGCAAGGAATTATGGGATGGCTTACCTCATCCTGACAATACATCCTAGCCATGCCCTCAGACAGTCGTATCATGCTTTCCAACTGACGTACTGTAATCCTCCACGACGACTTAGTCACGCCATTGGTATCCCGCTGACGTAATCGTCGATACTCCTCCACCATAAAGTCTTGCGATTCCTTATTGATTTTCGGTCTGAACTGGCGGGCAAACATCATATAACGCTGTACGTCTTCGATCATGTATTTCCTTTCCACTGCAGCCTCATTGTGACTGTGTAGATCAACAATACGCCGCGCTATAGCGTAGTCAGTTACCTAATAACAGTAAAAATGTACAAAGTAAAAACCATTTAATTTTTATCACTATCAATTTTCGTGAGTCGATAGGGCATTTAGGGAGGTAAAATTATAATTTTTCGGAACCTAAATGAAACCCAATTTCACAGCTTGCATGACTCGTAAAGTTTCTTGTTTTGTTAAATTATGCTACATTTATATACAGTTCATGGTAAGGTAAGGGGCGAACTCACCTCATTACACTCGTCAACAAGAATAAAGAAGAGATCAAATCTGGACATGATGGGTGCAGATAGTTGGATGTTCTGTTTTAGCGGTTTAGATTTATCGTATCGACCACCGATTGGATTGGCTGCCGCTAGGATGGATGTACGGGCATTCAACGTGGCCTGTTATGGATGTAGAAGAGATTTGATTATATACAGTTAATGGCATGTCTGATGAGAAGCACAATCAATAGGTGATTTTCCATTCAACTGCCAGATCTCGCGAGATGCATGAAAAACGTGCATCAAACGTCTGCCGCAAAAATCAAGCGATTTGATTTTGAACTGGAATTTCATTATTCCATATTGACCGGCCGATCTTCGACAGAGGAATATTGCTTTTGAATACCCTCACTTAATCGAAATTGTCTATCATCAAATGTGTACAGCACATTATTAAGCATGGAAATGCCCCCAAAATATTTTCACGTTTGTCGCCACTACGACGCTATGACCTTTGTTTGTCCTGTTTTTACGTTCAATTTTACGCATAACACGGGATTCTCGCAGTGTACTGAAAATGGTCTATTAATATGCTCAAGCGTTCTCACTTTACAAATCTGAGAGGTTCCATCCCCTGACAAATACATACACTATCAAATCTGAAATTAAGTTCGAAACTCACTGAGTTAGAAGGCTTTTGTTTGTCCTTGAAATTCAGTAACATTGTAGGCATGTTTGTCTAAGGGTTTAAGACCCTCCAGTACTCTCAAAATGAGCAAGTGTCAAAATGAGCGCAGGATATCTACTTAATATCAACATTTTTTACAGTAAAACAGCATCATTTAAACAGATTTTAGGTTTTTACCTTGATCTGAGATAGCTGATTTACATATTTGCAAAGTAGAATGTAACTTCAGTAATAGCAAAATGACCGAAATGAAATGAATAACTGTTAATCATGATTCTCCCACTACATTTTGAAATTACAGTACAAAGCCACATTATCATTGTTCACTCAGAAAATGACCAAATATGTACACAAAGAATACAACATTTCTGAAGATGAACAGATGCATAAATTACCCGGACACCAGCTTTAGTAATAGAGATAGTCTGTTGTTCCATTGCTTCATGAATGGCGACTTGATCTTTGGGATCCATCTTATCAAATTCATCAATACAACAAACACCCTAGAGTAGTATAAAATACGCATAGATTATAACCAAGTCATGATTGGACTATCACGTCAGCTGCAGCGCTAGCTGGTTGTAATTTCTATGAAATAGGGTTCAACATATGGGTTGGCTGTAAGGAGCAATTTCTCGTTAACTCAAACTTTTTGCTGACTAGTCAGCAGTCGGTGTGAATCATGTGGCTGATTTTCAGTGATCCATGTGAGAGTCAAGATAAAGAAACAAAAGATTGGTGAAACTAAATAACATTTGACAAGCTTGCATGGTTACCTTGGATGTATGGATCGACTTTGCAGTAAACATTCTCAGTATTTTTAAAGAAACTCGTCAAAAATCAGTTAAAATCAAGCAACACAATCATAAATTCAATGGTTTACACTAAAAATAACTAACCCAGTCTTTTGAATCCGATTAAAATATTCACCGCTACAAACTTTTTTGGATTCAGATTCAGAAAACTTTTTCTTCAGCAAAAATAAAATGTTTACAGTATTATTTAGATGAAAATGAGCAGAGGATTGTAATCAACTTACATTATCGGCTAACATGAGAGCACCCGCTTCAATGACGAATTCGTAGGACTCCTCGTCTTTGACAACAGCAGCCGTTAACCCGGCAGCAGTACTCGCTTTACCGCTAGTATACACAGCACGGGGGCTGAACTCTTCCACAGCCCTGTAGAACAAAGTAATTTACATAGTTATGTTTGTTAATAATACAAGGCATGTTTTAATGATCCTGTATACATAAAATGCAATTTTCAGTTTATATGCATTTCTAATAGAGAAAATATGGTAATACTATCTAACGAAACAAAATAACTGTTCCAGTAATAGCTGAGGGGCATTTATTGCCAAGGTTAATGTATACATAAAATGCAATTTTCAGTTTATATGCATTTCTAATAGAGAAAATATGGTAATACTATCTAACGAAACAAAATAACTGTTATAGCCGAGTGGCATTTATTGCCGAGCTTAGTGTGACGTTACTGTAAAATCTGTATTAGAAGCCCAGTTTCTAATAAAATAGTACAATGGAACAAAGGGAATTGGAGCACCTCCACATACAAGAAATAATGATTTTTGGGTTCTTAATGGTTCTATTAGAGATGCAGCTTCTGACAGAAATTTTTTGGGTGGTACGGTAGTAGGTGCCCTCCAAACTATGGACTGATTTGTGGCAAGTATGAAACCCTCATTAATTATACAAGACTACAATGATTTGTGGGATGAACAGAAAGGCAGTACATACTTTAGTAGTTGACTTTTAGCTGTACTTGGGTCACCAACAATGCAGACATTTACATCGCCACGGAGACTTGTACCTTCTGTTGTTGTCTTGGGAACACCTCCAAATAACATCAATAGAATACCGCGTTTCACTTCATCATTTCCTATGAACACAAAAAAGTCAAAAATAAAAGTCAAATTTGCAATCAGTACTGAAATTTTTATTATACGGTGTCACCTTTTTTGGGACTACTTTATTACATGCGTCAGAATACATACATTTGAAATGGTGTTATATGTCACCTGATCACCTGAGTGTATTGACATGTAAAAAAAGTAGTGCCGTTAGTGTAACTGAAAATGGCAGAATAAACAATAAGTTAAACTTGAAAGCTCTCTGGTTTCTTTGATGTTTTGTGTGTTCCTGAGTCAACACATCACATACTGATTCAGAGTCTGTTTGGGTCTAGTGGAGAGAATGTTTACATCATCTATGCGTAACCAACCTACCATGAATAGTGGGAAATAAACTTTGAATAAGATTCTGGTAAAGGTTTTTATCTCGACTCATTTCATAGATTTTCTGCCATTCTTGTTCAGTCATTTGTTTTTTGATACTCTCTGCAGTCAGTTCATCACCACGCATGTCTTTACCGCCAAACTGAAAGAAAAAGTGTATCAAATTTTGTAAACACAAAATGAACAAAAACAAAATTTGATAAAAAACAAATTGACAGCCATATTTATTATTAAACTGTAAATGTATTTCATTTAACCACAGTGAATGTCATAATTGTTGCTGCCCAAATTTCAACACAATTTTACACATTTTTCTCGTCTTTTTTTATAAATTTTTGACCAAATTGACACAATTTATCATTGGCTACAGGTTTTTATTAAAATTGTTGGAAAAAGGTGTTTTTCAAGTTCTGCTAAAAATACGACTCCATGCTACTGGTCTAAAGATTGATCACATGGCATATTTAGTAGCTCAGTAGTTCTATTCTTATACTAATTTTCATGTTTTTTTCTTCCATTCTTAGTTGCATTTATTCAATGTTTTATTCATGATTTTGGTGGAGTGAACTGAACTGTACTTCAGTTTTGTTTTGTCCTGAACAATAACATTAGCTTATGTTTTTTTTCCCTCGTTCTATAATTGTATGTATATAATGTGCTATTTGTGATATTAGTTGTGTGAAGTAATAATTCTGTTTTTGTTTTACAACCATAAAATTACTATGTAGTAGATTTTCGTGTTGAAATAAAATTATTATTATTATTATTATTATGTGGAAACAAGATGTGATTCAATAACCACACCATCAGTTGACACCATTATAAACCTAATTCATAACAGTCATTCATGGAGGATTTCAGCAGGCATGTGTGAAAACAAGGTCAAGTAGAACAGCGCATGTAAGGATCACAGAAACATAAAAGTTTTCATAGTGACAAGTTACAAGCAAGCTAGTAAATGCAAAACAAGCAGCCTATCGGCTGAGATAGCTCCGCTGTTAGCAATGCACATTTCAATTAAAGAACTGAAGACATCATTAGAAAATGAACAATATGAATAGTGTCAAAGCAATCGAACTTACAGTTTTTAACAAGAAGTCGAAAATATCACTTTTTACCAAAAATAACAAAAATATTCACCAAAATAAATTAATTAGAGAATTGAAGATATCATCACAAAATGAACAAATCTGAGAGAGGTCCACATGTAATATCAAAGCAATCGGACTTACAGTTTTCAACAAGAAGTCGAAAATATCACTTTTTACCAAAAATGACAAAAATATTCACCAAAATT